TGGTCACACAACTGGTAAGTATCAGAGGTAGGATTAAACCCAGCTTGCAGTCTTCTTAACCCCAAGTCCAGCATGCTAGTCCACACTTACATATCCTTCATGAGGAAGTCACCAACCACAATTACTTATCTCTTCGTCCTCAGACCAACAACAATTTTGCTAAATTCCTTTGCTTCTATGAGTAGCTTTTCTTTGCTCCGTGTACTAAAGATTATTGATACCTTTCAGAGGGTCCAGCTCTCCCTCGGCTCTGTTATGTAGCCTCACCTATTTAGAGCTTATTTTCCTTTCCCTTCCTTTACTTAACAACCATTTGACCCTGATCATGAACCTTCACTCCCCCATTTTTCTCAGAATCTTTTTCTTCTATCTTGTCAAAATTCCTTCATCATCTCAGACAAGCAGGAATATAAAGAGATATTCTTTATATCTTTTCATCTTCTAAAGAAAAAAAGCGTAGTTGATGAATGCCTCTGACAAGAAAATTCTGAGATTCTGGGATTCTGAGAACAAACCCAATTAAAAAAAAAAACTTCTTTGTTTCTGTCCTTCTTAGAGCTCAAGTCCTTAGTGGTCCACTCTTAGAAACATCCCCTAGAAACTGCAGGGACAAACTGACACCTAAGATTATTTGTTTGGTTAGTAAAAACAAATTCTTTCCTGGAGAAAAGATGTAAAATGCCAACTGCCTAATAGAATTGAGGGCAGAGATAGTTTCCCATTTGTTTTTGTATCTCCTAGCATCCAGTACAGTGCCTGAAACATAGTAGGAGCTTAATAAATGTTTGTGGATTGATGAGGTCACTTGGGACAAAAGTATCATAAAAATGCTACATCTAAGACATTTTTTGGCATGAATTATTATATTGAGTTCACAGGATTATTTATGTAGAAGGGGAAAAACCTTAGAGATCATCAAATGTAACCCTTTTGTTTAACAGATGAGGAAACTGAGGTACAGAGGAGTTAAATGACTGGCACAAAGTCACACAACTAAGTAACTGAGACAGGATTTGAATAGAGGTCTTCCTGTTTCCAAATCCAGCCTTCTATCCACTACAACACCATAAATAAATGTAATGTCTCCTACAGAGCAAGAAAAGTAGGCTGGGTGAAACAATTTAATTTTTTTTTATTTTTAAAATTTCTGTACCTGTCATATGGAGTATGTACTTTAAAAAGTCATGGATCTGAATGCTTTATCCCAGTGGCAGGGATCATTTCAGCAAAGACCCAATTTGTACTGATTAGCCTAAAGCTAAGAAAGGCATTGTATTAAGATGACAGTAATTTTCACAATTATTATTCCTCTGTGTAGCTATAATATGGTTTGTCCAGGACTGTAAATTGAGGCTTTAATTATAAGAATAAACAATTTTACCATGAAATGGTGTTTGAATACATTTCCCTTTATTATTCTTACTGAATACATAAAAATCTGTTCATATGTTTGTAGCTTGAAATAGATGTGATGTGTGTCCTATTGTGCTTTTCCCATTCACTAAACAAGGCTCAAAGTGGAGCTGCTCTCAGGATGACTTTGTATGATCCTGGGAATGAGCAAAAAACAGGGAAGCCTGTGTACTATATACAGCATATATTTGATTGGTTTTATCTTCAGGGATTCTCAAGACTTTGCTCCTATTTGCTAAGGGATTGAAATAAAAGATTAATGGTTTCTTGCAAGACCATGAAAGCATTATGATCTCTGCCAATCAATCTGCCCTCAAGTGTAGAGGAAGTAAATCACATTGCCTACTGGCTCAAGAAGGGTGGAGGAGAAGGATGGATGCCAAGAAATTGGAACTCAGTGTTTTTAAATGAACGTTAAAAATTGTTTTTACAGGTAATGGGGTGGGAGGATATTTTTTTTAAATAACATAAAGGAAGAAAGTCACCAGCAAGGCTGGATGTCAGAACCAAGAGTATGGGGAAGCTGTTGAGCTCAGCTCCACAGTTCTGAACTTGGCCAAAGACTGATCCTGAACCTATTTGCTAACTAGATTCCTTAAAGCCATTATATCAAAAGCAGTGCATATCCCTATTCAAGAAGTCCATAGAATGTTTGAAGTTAAACGCATTAAAAATCAACTAGAAAAATGTGATCTTCCTTCATCATGGCCTTCCTTTCTTAAGGGTCAAAGGAAATTTCACCTTTGGATCAAGAACACATGAATTTTTAATCCTCAGAAATCATGTGAAAGTTTCCAAAGAAAGTATCCCTTCATTATATATAATCTCTTCCACATGTCAGTCCTTTAGTTTCTAGCCCAATCTAGGCTTAAATGAGAGGGAGAAGGTGAAGTAGTTTCCCTTCCTGGGCTCCGTATTAAACTAAGTCTCTTAAACTTTCTTCTCTTCTTGGTGCTTTGTCAATACTTAGCTCTCAGGAAGCAAAAGTCAGCTGTTCATTCAAGCATAACGGACTTTTACAGCTATTTCTTGCTGTCACAATTCCCTAGAAACATTACATGTTCAGAAGCATTCTTCAGAACAGGACTGTGTAATACTAGGAGCTACATGGCCTGACTTTAAATTTACCCAAGGGATTAAGCTCTCTCATTTGAACTTCAGAAATGCTTTTCAGCAAACACTGTCTTCCTATTTATAAATGTGGCATTTGTAGATTTTAAAGCTGTTTCGATCTTAAGTAGTTGATTATGCTTGAAATAGAGAATTGTATGTCCTGCTTTCAAAAAGAGAAAGAAAGGGAGTTCTTCTGTTAGTTCTCATCTGAGCTGATACCTGCAAGAATACACAGTTGCCGCAGAAATCAGCTTTCTGTGTTTGCAACTGTCAAAAGTTCAATTTCAGCTACACTGTCAACTTGAAATAGGTGGAGCAGGTCAAAGTCGTGGGAGGAATAAGCCTCCACTAGAAACATCTTTGGCTCAGAGGGACTGCTGTCACAGGACAGGAGGGGAAGCCAAGCATACAGGAGGACAAAATCCCTTCTGAAAAATACATGCAATTCTAAGGAACAAAGAAAAAACTCATCCTTTCCTCAGCAGGCCTACTTTTCACCAGCACACCACTGTCCCTTGTCTGTTTTCCTCAAGGTTTTCAAAACATTACAAGCTAAGTTTAGAGTGATGTTTTTTTGGAGCAAAAGTTAAAGCTGAACAGTTAAACCTTAATATGCAATATTAGTCCTTCACTCAGCTACATCTCATTTCATCGCCACCTCTACATAATATCATAGTCACAATATGCTGTAAGTAATAAAGAACTGGACTGAAAGCCAGGAAGACATGAGCTCAAGTTCCATCTTGGGCACATTCTGGATCCTGGGAAAGTCACTTAACCTTTCTGTGCAGCTTTCTAAGACTATAAATTGCAGAGAGGAGGGGGCAACCTGCAATAGTTTCCTCTCCTGGGGATTTTTCAAGCCAATGAAATCACAGCTCCATTAAATTGCCCTTCCCATTTCGCAACTTGTCCACCCCAATGTAACTTCCTCTGCCCTCTTAGGCCAACCACTTTTTAAAAAAATGTTTCATAGCACTTTGTTTTTTAAATAATATTTCATTTTTCCCCAATTACATGTATGACAATTTTTAGCATTCTTTTTTTTTTGAGTTCCAAATTTTCTCCTTCTGTTCATCACCTCTCCCTTCCATAAGACAGTAAGCAATCTGATATAGGTTATACATGTGTAAGTATGCAAATCATGTTTGCATATTAGTCATGGTGTGAAAGAAGGGGGAAAACACAAGAACAATAAAGAAAGTAAAAAATAGTATGCTTCAATCTGAATTCAGATTTCATCAGTTCTTTCTCTGGAAGTGGATAGCGTTTTTCATCATGAGTCTTTTGAAATAGTCTTGGATCATTGTATTGCGTAGAATAATTAAGGTTTTCACAGTTGGTCATCATATAGTATTGCTGTTACTGTGTACAACTGTCTCCTGGTTCTGCTCACTTCACTTTATATCAGTTAGTACAAATCTCAGGTTTTTCTGAAATCATCCTGCTTGTCATTTCTTCTGGCACGATAATATTCCATTACAATCATATACCACAATGGCTTGTTCAGCCATTTCCCAACTGATGAGCATCCCCTCAATTTCCAATTCTTTGCCACTGCAAAAAGAGCTGCTATAAATATTTTTGTACAAATAGGTTCTTCTCCCCCTTTTTAAAAGTATCTTTAGGATACAGACTTAGTAATGGTATTGCTGAATCAAAGGGTATGAACAATTTTATAGCCCTTTGGGCAAAGCTCCAAATTGTTCTCCAAAATGGTTGGATCACCAATTGCATTTTGAACACTATGAATGGACAGCTAGATTGGAGTCATTTCTTTTGCACACAGTAGGAGCACAGGCCTGAAATGGGTGCAGCTAAGTTCCTCTGTCCAGTGACAAGGAAGCTTTTGGCAGTTGGGGAAACGTGTCTGCCTTAAAATCATGGCTATATATGTCTAGGAATGAGACAGGAGTGGAGGAGGGAAGGAATCTCCATGCCTAGAAGGACTCTTTATTCAGACCTTCACAGTTACAAAGAGGAAAAGTGAGCAATGCACACATACTGCAGATAAGTTTGTATATTAAGAAATGAGCTATCTAAAAGGTGATTAAAATCTCTGCATCTCCAAATTACAAATCTGACTCCTCAGCAGATAACTAAAATACTAACATAGACTCCTACTTCAGGAAATGACATTTTTTCTGTCAGTCTGTTTTTACCAGGAAAAAAAGCAATAACATTTGCAAATTCACCATCTGTGTGCTATGTTCCCTTGACCCCAACTATGACATGACCATAATTATAAGAAGATGATGTGCTTTGAAAATTTCATAAGATCATTTTTTTTTGCTTTTTCACCATATTTCTGCAATGTGGATAAAAGCTGGGCCAGATCATTACCTTCCCTGTAGCCATAATAAACTGAGCTTCATTGGGTCGGGTGCTAACCTCACAATCAACGTATTACTGTTGCTGTCCTTGGCCTGTTGGCTTCCAAGCTAACATTTTTGTCCTTTGATTTTTACCTGCAGCTCAAAACACTGGAATTTCAACTTTATATAGAAATTCTTATGGTGCACCTGCTGAAGATATCAAACATAACCAGGTATGGTACACACCATTTTCAGATTATTCTTCTAGTTAGAATCATGTGAAATGTCCAAAACATAAACAAATGAACTCCATAATATGTAAAAACCTGGAGGAGAGACAAGGGAAGGCGAGAGAGAACATTTTGTGACTACTCCCAGACGCATCATGGCCTTTGGATGAAGGGACTTAGTGCATAGCAGTCCTTAGGGGGCAGTTGACTCCCCCCCGTCACTGGAAATCTTCCTGCAAAGACTGAATAATCACTCAGGTATACTGTAGAGGATGTTCTTTCTCAGAACTGTACTCAATTTTGCTAAGGCCCTCTCAGTTCTGTATTTCTGTGATGTTATTGGTACAAATTAACTAGTTTAAGATAAACCTGGACTTCATGCAGACTCCAGTAGAGAACCTTCTCTACCTGTTCATCCAAGTGAAAAAGTTAACATAAGAGCAAAGAACTGCAGCCTTAGCCTCATGCTTGCGAGGACTGTCATGTATTTGAACATCAAAGAGTCACTGAATGGTGACAGTGCTAGGTAACTGTGTTTAGAGACCTTACCAATTTCAATAAGTAGGTCCAGTTGCCACAAATATCACAGAGGCATAAACAAATGAAAGAGTGCTAATGAAAGAGAACACACTATACAGTTGATACTCTTAAAAACCAGTCTGACTTTACTAATTCTATGCCTATAACCTGTAGTTCAACAAATCATGCAGTCTGACAATATTCTTATACAATGGAATGCACGTGTACTCAATCATGTAGTCTGCAAAAAATGTGGCATCATTCCAAGTGAATTCAAATTCAACACAGGATTTACTTGAAAACCAATAATAATGATTCTTGGTTTTTTGGAAACGATTAGCTACTTTAGGCATTTCTCCACTTTCAGTGATAATTACCAAATGACTGACATTTTTGTAGTCATCCTCAATTATGGCCTTTTGTGATTGATCCCTTCGATTCCTGCCATACATCAATGAAGTTGTACTGAAAAGATAAAAATGAAAACTGTTTGATCAATTGCCATTATCATCCAAAAGCATAAAAGACCAAGGAATTTTGTGGTCCTTTTGAAAACAGTATCCTTTTTTAGAAGAATATTTTCTGAGTACCCAGCAGGGAAATTCCCTTTGAAAATGAAAGGAAAAATTCTTCAAACATAAGAAGATAGCCAGGTCTTGTCTAAAGACTCCATTTGCAGCACTGTTTGATAGAAGGGTCAAGAGAAGAAATATATTCTATTCTCCTCAACAGCTAATATTGCCCAGGATTGCCACCAACAGTCAACTGAACAGGAGGGGCTATTTAAAGACAAAAGGGACCCCAGAGCTGTCTAGTCCAACGTTCTCATTTTACAAATGAGGAAACTGAGGCTCAGAAAGGTTAAGTGATTTGCCCTTGCTCACACAATATATATGACACTGCCCAGTGGTGTCCAACTCCAACATAAATGGATCCCTATGGGCTGCCTTTGCCTCAGCCGCACATGTACGTTATCTTCGTGGTATTTTTTATTTATTTTGTTAAACGTTTCCCAATTTCATTTTAATCTGTGGAGTTTTGTGGCTGAGAGTTTGATGCCTCTGCCATATTAATGATATAGGAGGGAACATGTGTCCTCTTTACGACTACATATTCACAGTAATGTAAAGACCACCCTCATGTGACACTCCTACCCCTACTCTCCAGTAACTGCGACTAGTCGCATTACTGATCTAGAATAATCATTGAACCCAACTTCTGCGGGCTGCCCAAAATTTAGAGCCGAAAGGAGCACAATAAGGCAATGGGTCCATCAAGACTACAGTAGACATCACTGCAGCCAACAACTACTGCATATTCCAATGTGACTCCAAAATTCTTCAAAAGCCAAGTAAAACTTGCCTTTAAATATAACATGGATTTTGATGTTTCCTTTCCAAGCACTGGTACTGAAAATTTGCAGATAAGGGCCTATCAAGGAAAGAAAGTAATGATCACACATTTGAATGTGAAAAGATTAGCCCTTAAGGGGCCAGAGCAGAGATAATCTCATCATCAGAAATTGCTTACTTTGCACATAGAGCTGCTGCTGGAGCCTTGGTATTGGTGTTAACCCTCTGGTGGAACTCAGGTGATCCAATAAATCTACAGGTGTGGTACAGGACTGCACTTTGGTCTTTGCATTCTCACTCAGTATCTTACACCTTTCAGGGCAATTCTGTCTCTTCATTTTTGCCTTGTTTTTTACCTGTGTAAAAATGTGTGTTATGTTCACATGTCCAATGGGGATAACAGTACACATTGCTTAGGGCCCTATTTCTCCCTAGGCATGGTTTTGGCTTTGAGCTTTAAAAAAATAAAAGACTTTTTTTTTTACTGAATCAGAATAAAAAACCCTTTTATTATTCCAAAGGGTTGAATACGTTGACTACATTTTCTATTCTTATTGTGTGCTTATCCGTGTATTTATTCAAAGGCTTTATGATGATGGTAAAGTCACTTTGACAAATGTGCTAGAATAGGCCTCCCTGTCCTAGAATATAACTGCTTTTCCTTGCATATAGCAAACAGAAAAGTATTGACTCAGTCCCTTCACACTGGTAGGAAGTTGGATTAGATGATCCATTAGGCTTTTTACATCTTTGCTGTGTTTGCAAAGTTCTGGGAATCATGCAGCATTGAGTATTTCTCTAAAATGGGTAAGAGATGTAAATAAGGGTCTTGCATTTTATAGCCTCTAATCTTCTCTCTGAGAGATAATTATTGTCAGCACTAGCACATGAAAGCAAGAAGCTATTGGCAAAATTGAGGGAGGCCTGAAGGAGGAGGGAGGAGGTTGTATTGCTGAGTCCTTGGATATCATAGACAGCCCAGGTCTCCTTTCCAGTAAGTAAACAGCAGTGACATGAAACATTCACCAAAAGAGGTCGAGTGTCAGAGAAAATAGATTAACAGGACCGGATTGGTCTTTCTTCTGTAGGTTTCAGCACAGCCAGTCCCACAGGAGCCCAGTAGAAAAGATTACGAGACCTACCAGCCGTTTCCGAATTCCACAAGAAACTACGATGAGTCCTTCTTTGAGGATCAAGTCCATCACCGTCCACCTGCCAGCGAATACAACATGCACCTGGGACTGAAGTCCACCGGCAACTATGTCGACTTCTATTCAGCGGCTCGTCCCTACAGTGAACTGAACTATGAAACAAGCCACTACCCAGCCTCACCAGATTCCTGGGTTTGAGGCCCGGCAGGAAGGAACAGCTCCAGGAACTGTGCATGTGCATGCATACACCACAAGACATTTTTTTCCCTGCAAATTTAGTTTGTTAAAGCCTGTTCCATAGGAAGGCCCTGATAACCAGTATGGAAACCTTGATTAAGAGATATTTTAGAAGGCTAAATGCATTGAAAGTTAACTTGGAAGTCGATAGAATGAAAGAAAAAGTCCTAAATATTATTACAGTGTGGGACAACTTTTACTGTTGGCCCTATAGAGTCTTAAAAAACAAACAACGTGCTGATTATTGAATATGATGGAAGGAAGGAGGGAGGAAACAGCAGTGGATGGTGGGACAAGAAGGTTATGTTAAGCACAAGAAACAGAATAGTTTACATACTTTATGGGGGGACAGCTTCTCACACTTTGTTTACTATCCTCATTCATTGTGAATCTAGGCTTCAAGTTGCATTTGGGGTTCCTCTGTACAGCAAGATGTTTCTTGCCTTTTGTTAATGCATTGTTGTAAAGTATTTGATGTACATTACAGATGAAAAAAAAACCAAGTGCATTGTGTATATTACACCAATGCCACAGTGTTTCTTCATCTATGGTTCTAAATATTACTTAAATTTCAAAATTTTGAAGGATGTATGAATTTCCAGTTTTTTTCTTTTCCCCGGTATGTTTTAACAAAGACAAAAAAAGGAATATTTAGCAGTATTGTTCGTTCTGATATGTGAATTTGTTTGTGGCAACTAACCAAGGCATTCAGCAGTTTCTGACAATTAACATATATCATTCCACACTCCTTGTCAACGAAGTGCTTTTTCACTGCCTAAAATTTTAGATGTAGATATTTGAAATAGATTTTTTTCATTTATACCAGTTTTCTTTATGATGATACAGTGTTAAAAGAAAATAAATTACAATTGATCTGTCATCCATATTTGCTAAGAATGTCTATTTCCAAGAATTTGTCATGCAAAATGCACATTCTTGCTTGTGTGTGTGTGTGCGTGTGTGCCCATGTATGTATAATAATCTGTGTGTGGTTTTTTGATAGAAGTAATTTCATTTGCTGTTCTTGTATAAGCTTTGTTATTTTCTTTTCCCCAGGATAAATTGACTTCAGTCTGTTCTTTCTGTACTGTATCCACTGTACTGACCATTTAATAACATGGGATCTTAATCCTGATGACATGGAACTGTGGGAGTTTCACCCATCCCCCTTCTTGGGCACCAATCCTTTAATACCCTCAGTTCTTTCCACATTTTACCCCTCAGTTTCTACTCGTCCCCTAAAAAGAAGAGAATCCTTATAGAGCCAAATCTGTAATTCCACTTTCTGGCCAGCTGCTTACATCTCCAGGGGAACTGGAAACTCTTCCATTTACACTGCTGAAGGGGCTTAATCCATCATCTCCCACTGTCCTCTACCACCAGAATCTAGTCTTTAATCTCACATGAAGCTAATAACTAGATAGGAATTAACAACAATGAGAAACAATCATTTTTAGAAATTAAGTGTACCTAATTTTTCCTAACATTCCTTTAAATATTGCCACTCCTCTCTACATAATTTAATTCAGCCAAAAGTCAGCAAACAATAGTTTCTTTGTCCAAATTTAACTACAACCAGAAGATAATTTTACTCACCTACACAGACTTCGGAAATAAAAAAGCTAATTTCTAGAGAACAGCATAGATAGAGCTTAAAGATATTTATATGTTCTCCTGTCTTCTTCTCAATTAGGTCAAATGTGAATTAGTACCTTTAAAAATCACTTTTAAACTTTAACTGTACTGCAAAATTTGTGGTAGGAAACCTGTATTTCTGGGATCCTTCACTGTAATATTACCATTTCATCCCCTTATTGTGCCTCTACCAGGCACTTCTCCCCCTACCTCCCAACATAGAAATATAGCTATATATATCCTAGGGGTCAGAACGAATTTTACACTTCACCAGTGTCATAGGACCAAAATAATACAGGTCATAGAGGCAGATATCGTGGCATAAACATGAGTTATCAGTTACCTAGTATTCTAGATTAATATTTCCAAAAAATAGACAGTAAAAAAAAAACATTAACAGGTCTCAGTGTGAAGGGGAAAATAAATACATGCAGTAAAAAGATGGTAAGGACAGCTGTATACGAAGGGAAGCAAAAAGCACTACTCTTAACAAGATCTTTATATTTTCTTTATGATACTGATTGTAAATACATAGTTTGCATTCACAACACTTTGGGACCAGGCACGCTTTTCCTCTTCCAGTGACCCTCAAGGAGCATGGGCTACAGTTAGCCACTGCTGTTGTGTCTCCCCTGGAGTAGCACCAGACCTAGTGAATGCACAAAAAAGCGTTTATAGTTAGTAGAGCCAACCCTTTTGCTCAAAGGTACATCTTAGGGAAAAAACTGATTATTATTTTCTTCTTTTTTATTAAAATTAAAAAAAATAAGGTTGGGTTTTACTTGAACTGTTAAAATGGCCTCAGGGCCCATATAGGTTCCCTTAACAGTGAAGCCAGGTCAGCTGGTGACCTGTTCATTACCTGAGATATATTGGATTAAATGCACCAAGTGACATGAAACCTTTGGTTTTGTTTTTTGTTTTCATTCTTCTGAAGTGACTGAGTGTGATCTCTGAGAGTAACAACTCTCCCTTGAGTCCTAAAGAGCCTCTTAGATCTTGTGTTTTCTAACAATGACATACAAACAGAAAAAAGGAAAAACCAAATATCATTTCTTGCTCCTTTCTTTCCCAGCATTAGACCACAAATGTACCTGCTACATTTGATGTGATATTTGGTGTGGAGAATAGGATCTTGATCAACCATATAAATCCATGATGAGCTTATCCTTGCCTCATTAAAAGAGTGTGACTTATCTAAGAGCTGGTTAACCAATGTTACTGGTTTGTCTGTATGTGTCCAGTGATTCCCAAACTAAACAAACTTAACAGATGTGTCTTTCACAGAAAATTCAACTTGTTCCCCAATATACTCCTTCCAATTCCCCCCCTTCAACACAATCACTCAGATCAATCCAGATATTCTGAGCACTTCTTTGGTTTTCACTAGCAAATCTATGTATGGGCTTAGCAGTCTGAGAGGTTGAATTTACTGAGGTTTTGCTAGCACCTGTTTGTTTCACACAATTTTTTTTTCTTCCAATACCCAGTTTCTTTGTCATGAAGTAAGGCACAGCTCAGAGATGCTGTCTTCACTACTGTATTCATTTCCCAGTCTGAGGTGAAAAGGAAGGGATCAAATAAAATTGTCAATGGCCAAAGAACTTAAGTACTTATTCACAAAAGTAACACACAACAGAATAACAGTAAGAAAACATCTTTAGAAAGACAGAGGGCACACTCACATGCATAGAAAGTGACTGTTCAGAATATCACTGTTCAGTACTGGTTCTCAGTCTTTTTGAGAACATATTCTAATGCTGCAACTCTGACAATAAACAAATCGAACAACAAAACGTCAACAGTACGAATCAAGTTGACATAAGATGCTAAATCATACTTGGTGGTAGGTGGTCTGTTCAAAGACCAATTTAGATTGACAGCTTCAATCAATAAAAGCTACTGTGTTTTCGAAAGCTTCTACTTAAAAAAAGAAAAGCAGTACATTTAAGCTCAGTAGCCCCACCAAAAAAAAAAAATCTCAATTTTAGTCTATTTTATCACTTGCCCCTACTTCAGTTTTTCTTCACTATCTGATATTATCTCATTCATTCCCATGAATTTAGCCACTTAGAGAGTGTATATTTGGTCCTCACAAGTCATTTGATATTTGTACATACACACACACACACACATACACAAAGAGAAAATGAAAGCAATGCCTCCCTGAATAAATGTTCCCTATTTACAAACAGTTATCTTCAGGATAGCAGTGTCTCTCTCTTACCATCCAAATAAGATAAACCTGCAAGATTCAGCTAACTCATTTTACAGAGGAGAGCAAGGGAATGGACATAGTCATTTCATCAATTACAATGCAAGCATGCCAGTCTGACCTAGACCCCTACAAAGACAGCAGGAAGAAATCAGAAGCAAATTTTCTTTTCACCATTTGGGAACCACAGGATACTCAACAGGTACCATATTCTGGATATCCCAGATAATGATCAATAATTTTATTAGACTACAGTTCACAGTTTTCATATTAGACACCTTGGAATTAGTGTGAAATTGAAGCAAAATCTTGGCAAATATAAGATCACATTCTGTAAATGATTAAGTCCAAGCCTGCTTCTCCCAGGCAATGTAATAGATATGTAGAGAATAGGGGAACTTCTCACACTTCAGTGACTGAATTTTTCACATCAACCTAATGACCTTAAAATTTTATTATTCTATAAAGTCATAAAATCTTGAAGTGGAAGGATTTTAGAAATAATCTAGTCAAACCTCTTTGTTTTATAAATGAAGAGAGGGAAGTTAAGTGACTTGTCTAAGGTCATATGGGGAGTAGGACATTTCAGAACAGAATAGGAACTCTGAACTCTTGGATTGGATCATCTGCTCTGCTCTCTGTGGACAACAGGACTTATGCAAATCATAACAGTTCATTCATCCAGTTTCTTTATAGGAAAGATTAGATAGACAAAGAGGAGCACCATCCTGGCTAGTTTTTGAGGACTCTGAAAATCCGGAAAGTAAAGAAAGCTGGCTCAATCTTTGCCAATAAACCAATAAATAGTACTCAAGAGAACACATTTTTTCTAAAGGAAATTCCTAATCACAGTATCTAAAACTAAAGAGAAAATTTTCATTTCATGTCAAACAAAAACACTCATTTTCATCAGATGTTCACAATATTACCATGGCACTTATGATGAATAAACGAATGAATGCCAAAGTCTCCCTGGCCAGTGAGGTTGGAGCAAAATGACAAATCAACACCACATAGAAGAGTAAACTAATGTTGTCACACAACTGAGGCTTAACCCTTTAAAAAGACAATGATTTACTTTTACATAATTTGAGAAAGATCACCAAAGAGTATGTATATGAATTTTGGCAACATAAGGTATATTCAGTCCCATTGCTTTGTTTACACATTGCTTATTTCTAATTAGGAAAAAGCCACCCAGATATTAGATATCTCCTCTTCTTTATCACTCTACCCATATACTGAAGAATATTAAGCAGGAAAGAAACTCATTTTTTTTTAAAGAACTCCTCTATCCTGATCTTCATAATATTTATGTCTCCAGTCCTCAAAGACCTGTTTTTTTGGATGCCAGTATACTGCAGATCACAGCCCCACAGACCTCAGGAGTCTCATGAGTTGTTGTGGCCTAAATAAATGAACGATTACCTCATGGCCAGCTCTCTGGTGATGAATCTCTCCCAACTTACCTAGACGGGTCTTCTTAGTCTCTTTCCATACCAGCATGTACTTGAGGGCTTTCCAGCTTGGTAGGAACTGCCAGAGCTTGAACCATTGGCATGAACCATTAGAACCTTCAAAGAACCCTGAATCAGCCCCATGCCAATGATGAGGCAGCAGAGAAGAGCTTCAAGCATAGGAGACGATCACACTTGTGGATTAAATGCAACTAGTTTGAAGGTGCCTGCTAGAGTCTGCAAGGTGTAATCAGTTGGCTCATGTATTTTAGAGTATTAGGCCAATGGCCTACATAATGTGAGTTCACAAGACAGATTGTTGGAAGTGTGTGAGTAGAGGAGCAGAAATTATTTCCACTATCACAGAGGAAAGCATGGCATTTTAGAAAGAACTCTGGACTAACAAGCAGGAGAATTATGATCTACCCCCTGTAAGTGGCATTAGGTCACTGTACACCTTAGACAAGTTATCTCTAACCTCCCAGAGACAGTTTCCTTGCCTACACAATGAGGAATGAGAGGTTTGAATTAGATGAGTAAGTATTATTCCAGCTCTAAAATGCAGTCATGTAAATGACAGGGGAAGAGGTGGGGGGAGTGCCACCATCATGCACATTTTAGGCTATTATAAAGCAATTTAGATGGCATGTTGGATAAGGCACTGGACCTGGAGTCAAGAAAATAGGATTTCAAATCCAGCCTCATCTGCCAGCTTAGCACAGTGCCTGGCACATAGGTGGCATAATAAAAATGTTTTTTTCCCTTCCCTTTTCCTATGTAACCCTGGGTAAATCATTTAATTTCTGTCTGCCTCAGTTCCTCATCTGCAAAATGGAACTAATAATAGAACCTACCTCCCAAGGTTGCTATGAAAGTCAAATGAAATAATATCTGTAAAGCATTTTGCAAACCTTAAAGCACTATAGAAAAGCTAGCTATTGGTATCAAAGTGAAAACTGTCTCTGAATCTTTTAGGAACTTTTAAACTAGGTATTGTATACTGGCTTCCTCTCTATTCCATCACATTTAAGATAAATAACAAGATGCTAATTTTAGAGAAATGAGATGCAGAGCACTGTGGCTCTCTTTTTTGCTGTTAGGGTATCACTTATTCTTGGCACAGTTGTGTTGGCAAGAATTTAAATATAACACTTCCTCCCAAATGTGAAGACTAAAGTCTTCTACTTATATAGAGTCATTTCAAGGGGACCTTGGGAAGTTCTGAGTTTCTCCATGTGGTGCTATCAATATGCCTAAAGATGGTCAACTAGAAAAGGCAATTTTGATTTCTTTAATTCAGTAAATTCATAGCTACTCAACTGAGTAAGTGAATGAGTAGAAACTGTAGTTAGGAGCTGCCCTGAGATAGTTTACCATGATTGGAAAGTTTTGTCCACTTTTCTGCTTCATGTCCCCTGGGATTAAGGGCAGACATTTATGAAGTAACTGCAGAAGTTAGCCAGAGGCATCAGAGAAGCTAGCTAGAACCTCTGGAGATCAAATCCATGGCCTTCAGCCTTTTAGTATTCTAAATAGTCCCATAGACTTACTCATACATTGTTTGAGCTGGAAGGGACCTGAGAGGTCATCTAACACAAATCCATTTTACAGGTGCAGAAATTTGTGATATTAACCAGTCACAGTCGGGGAAGTTGTCGTACTTTACCCTCAGTTGTTTTTGCTAAAATAGGTGTAGGTATAATAATAATTATATTAGTCCACATATGGTAAAATCCAATGCTGTTAAATTTCACTCCTCCACCCCCTTTTCCTTCCCCAACCAATATTTAACTTCTAACAAAATGCAAAAATGTTTGGTTAGAGTTCAATCTCCTTTATAATGTCTTCCCAACCTATAGAGAAGATGGCATCATGCATTGGATTGTATAAAAGACAAGCAACCAGACAAAGGAAGAGGACAAACACAGGACCTAAATAAGTTATTCACCAAATAACCAACCCTCAAATTGTCCAGTTGGCTGTACAATAACACAGGGCCCTTAACATGAAAACAAATCATCTAGAATAGCCTCCAATAACCACACAAACACCTGCCTCTTCAGTGTACAGCTAACTGAGAATTCCCCCTCTCCCCTAATTTCTATATCTCATCTTGGTCAAAGGCTGACCTAAGAGGAAGGTCTAAAGTAGCAATATGGAGGAAAGGAATTGGTAAGGAAGGCTGAGCATCCAAGACTCCCAGCTCCTCTGTCTTCCTTGGTGATTAAGTTCAAATCTTACCTTCTGCAGGAGGCCTTTCCGGGTTCACTCCTTCCCCCTAAGAAATCCCTTCCCTCTGAGATAACCTTCCATCCTTCCATTTACATTGTCATTATGTA